TCTGGCTTCATCAGCTTTCTGCCTAGCCAGTTATGTTAATTATATTGTTTTCTTTGTTACATTGTTACATCCAGTATATATACACTTCCCCCTTCTTCATGTTCCATTATGCTTGACAACGGTACAAGAATCTGTATCGAAACGTCGCACTCACGAATAAAAAGAAGTTGTTATCCATAATGTTTGTTCTATATTGTACTCACAATAAGTGTTTGGGTGGTTGCCAAGAAAAGATTGTTCCCCTCTTCAGTAAGAGCATTGGCGACTGCCTGTAGAGTTGCCCGAAAGACAGGACGTCGTGAGAGGGCAATGTGTCGTTTGTTTCACACGTGTTCGATAGGTTGAAGACTGGTGCACGAGCTGGCTACTCCATGCGGGTAGCCAGCAATGACCCTGGCGCTATCAAGTGGCTCGTTATCATCCTTCAGGCTGAAGGCGCCTAAGGACAGTTAGGGGCCGCTCGACTGTATCCGTCAGACTCTTCCTCCGCCGCTCGCTTCAATGGGATAAACATATGGACGGAATATACTTGAGAATTAGGCATCCCAAAACATCTTTTTTGTTCAGTTTTCAAATTTTGAATCAAGAACTTTGTCAGTACAATTTTTAAAGTATTGTTTGCAATGGTTTGAAACAAGCGCCGTATATCTATCTCAAGAAAGCTGCGTTCTGAATGCTGACTTGAGAACCACTTCATTGGTCGGTCAAACCTCGCATAGGGTTACAGCCATACTTGTCTTGAGAAAACCATTATAAAGGCACCATCTACTACTGTGGCTATAATTCTCCTATTGTAGGTCCAGTTGATATGGCATATAACACTGTGGCATATACTCTCCAGTCAGTCAGCATGAAAGGGACCAATACCTTCTGCATGTGTTCCCTAAATGTATCAATCGCATCGTCTTTTCTCTCTAAATTCCTATCCGAAAATCAGAACTAGGTAATTTGGCCAGTTTAACTTCATTTAATCATCAGATATATCCATGTGAGTTTTCGCTGTCTTGGCTGATCCATGATTTTAGCTTGGAATTACTGAGGTAGCTGTTTTCGGTGAGTCGTGGCGTATAACTTTTAAAATAATGATCCGATTGTGACCATTTATAGCTCCTTTTGCAGGGAAATCATCTAGCTTTCGATCCGCCTCGGCGGGGCCTCCAAAATATTTTATGTGGTGAAATCTAACTTTGATTGAGGAGGGGTTGGTTTCGTCGTTACATCCCTTTCCTTTTATATAGTAATAGAGTTGGGTCTATACACGTATATGTCTTTCCAACGCTGCTTCTAAGCGAGACACGCCACTATCGGTTCAACAATATTACAAACAAAGTAATTGAAATATACAGGCTATCTTGTCCAAATTGGAAAATGACTTGAAAAAATGACTGCTACTGAAAAAACAAAACAATATGTGATTCAATTGTTTTGTCATGTACATATTCTTTTAGGTTTCTTTTAGTACCCTTGAAACTTCACAGCATGAAAAGTATAATAACTCATCAACCCCCAAGGCTGGACTACCTGTTGACTTTCTTATAAGAATCAAATTAGCTACCTATCCATTTTAACTGTTACAACATAATCGCATGAAATGTCGCACTTCTGAATACTCTAGCAGCAGTACACCATACACACTACTTCATGTAGCTTCTCACCAATACCACACATGGACGTCTCCTAAATCAAAGCAGTCAAAGAAGATCGTTTTAAAGATATATTATGATTATATAATTAGTGAGTGACTGAGTTTAATTTTACGCCGCTTTTACCAATATTCCAGCAATATCAAGGCGAGGGACACCAGAAACGGGCTTCACACAGTACACCCATCGAACCCGCTTCTTCGGCGTGACGAGCTAATGCGTTTAACACTAAAGTACTGTCGGAAATGCTAGAAAAATGCTTTTTGACTTATATTTAAAATTCAGAGGTATTACAGTTACTTAAATAGCAAATATCACTTCAAGAAACATCTACCTAATGTAGACCGAGAGAATAAATTTTGAGACATGTCCTAAAATGTGTTTTTACTGATGAAAATACCAAAAACTTAGAAAAATAAGGGGGAGAGGGACGTTATTTGATACAAACATTAATTGCCTGTGTTACGTCATCAGCATCCACGGTATCGACAGGTGAAATTGACACCTGAGCACACGCTCGGGCGAGGGATCATCTCAATAGCTGTTTTCTGCAAAATGTTGAATATGTGTACGTATAGTATACGTATCGGTTATGTAAGGGATCATTTGTGTATGTGTGTTTGTTTTGAAATAAACATACGAATTACTGTACATTGGAAAGAGTCCAATCACTTGTGTTATCTTATCGATTGATTGTAGAAATGTGCAACGTTTTAATAAATGTTTTGCATGTCAACAGTATATTTCATTGAAAACATATGGATGTAATTCGGTCAGTTTAATCTAGTTGTGAACATTGGACAAAGATTTAACGAAGTCACTGGTGTAGCTTCTTTAGAATATGTATATTTTTCTTCTCATAAAGTTTGTAGACCGCCCGTCTAAGCACTCCCTTGTCAAAGTTGTCAAGGATGGTTTTACGTCCCAGTTTTGCATTTGAGACGGTCCCTGTCTTGTCTGATTTGTTTACAATATTGTAAACTTGTTGGTAAGACATGCCAACAGCTCTACAAGTTCTGTAATAAACCCTTTCTAAACTAATGAAAGGTTTACCTCTGTGTTTTTTAAGCAGAAAAAAACTATAAACCTTTGCAACAATCGACTGTAAATCGTTGGCCATAGTGATAGTGGACGCTGTGATAAAGATGTGCATGCATGACGGGAAACTTATTTATCAAGACTTAACATTTATAATAATATTTCTTCAATAAAGAAACGATAATTAAGTAAAGTAACACAAACATTGAATATTTATTTGTTTAGGAAAAACGTTAATTCATATTTTTACACCACCTGTATTATTAGCATGAATGTAAAGACTATTTCAGATTTCTGTTGTTGAACTCTGAAAAAATATAAAGTGGCTGTTTGGGTACCAAATTCTCTCCTGTAAACTGCCCTTTAAATGCATGGGAATGTTAAATCGATTGAAATAAATATTAGGTAGACAATAGGCGAGTCTATATATTGACAACATAGTACATGTATGACCTTTATAAAGATATTAAGGCTAAAAAGCATTTTTCTAGCATTTCCGGCAGTACTATAGTACCCCAATGCCTCTAATATTTAAATAAGTTATAAAATAATGATTGATTAACCCATTTACTATCTGATTTGAAGTCAACAGGTCATATTCTTGGTTTTAATTCAAATTTCTTCAAATGCATCACTAACTGGGGCAGCTCCCAGCAACCCTCACACATATTGCATCCTGAAGTCAATGTGTCCAGCATCCTCTAACGAAACCAATGTATGTATACATCTCATGTCAGAATGTCTTGGACTATTTCATCCATCTGGAGGCAGTCAGTTAACTTTTAGGATGACATGAATATTGTGTTCCGCATCTTGGAAGATTCGCCAACTGTACCCACATCAAGCAGTATTGGAGATGCAAATTTGTTCTTCTCCAACATTTCCAGCATTTCAAGCCAGCACTTTCCACCTGGAACCCAAACTGTTCTGGGCATGCAACAAGCCATACCCAATTACATGTAGATCGATACTCATGATGTTGATCACTGGATTGTCCGGTCCAGACTCGCCGCCATATAGCTGGAATATTGCTGAGTGCGGTGTAAAACTAAATTCATTCACTCACACTCACCCAATTACATGTAGATCGATACTCATGATGTTGATCACTGGATTGTCCGGTCCAGACTCGCCGCTATATAGCTGGAATATTGCTGAGTGCGGTGTAAAACTAAATTCATTCACTCACACTCACCCAATTACATGTAGATCGATACTCATGATGTTGATCACTGGATTGTCCGGTCCAGACTCGCCGCTATATAGCTGGAATATTGCTGAGTGCGGTGTAAAACTAAATTCACTCACTCACACTCACCCAATTACATGTAGATCGATACTCATGATGTTGATCACTGGATTGTCCGGTCCAGACTCGCCGCCATATAGCTGGAATATTGCTGAGTGCGGTGTAAAACTAAATTCACTCACTCACACTCACCCAATTACATGTAGATCGATACTCATGATGTTGATCACTGGATTGTCCGGTCCAGACTCGCCGCCATATAGCTGGAATATTGCTGAGTGCGGTGTAAAACTAAATTCACTCACTCACACTCACCCAATTACATGTAGATCGATACTCATGATGTTGATCACTGGATTGTCCGGTCCAGACTCGCCGCCATATAGCTGGAATATTGCTGAGTGCGGTGTAAAACTAAATTCACTCACTCACACTCACCCAATTACATGTAGATCGATACTCATGATGTTGATCACTGGATTGTCCGGTCCAGACTCGCCGCTATATAGCTGGAATATTGCTGAGTGCGGTGTAAAACTAAATTCACTCACTCACACTCACCCAATTACATGTAGATCGATACTCATGATGTTGATCACTGGATTGTCCGGTCCAGACTCGCCGCCATATAGCTGGAATATTGCTGAGTGCGGTGTAAAACTAAATTCACTCACTCACACTCACCCAATTACATGTAGATCGATACTCATGATGTTGATCACTGGATTGTCCGGTCCAGACTCGCCGCCATATAGCTGGAATATTGCTGAGTGCGGTGTAAAACACTAACCTTCCATATAATGCTGAGTACCTGTTAGTTGTAACACATCATTATCAGACTTCGTTACATTTTGACATGATACCATTACCATTTACATGTGTGGTGTATTAACGTATCTTCCAGTTCCGCTGTGCTGTTGATGTTAAACACATCTAAATTGTGCTAGGGACGTTTTAGATTTCATTTCATGACATCCAGTTGAGGTTCAGCTATATATAGCTGTATGAATACAACGAGTGCTCTTGCACCCCGCAAGGTCAAGGGTATTCACGTGGGGACGTGATGAATGTTTTTCTACAATGGCGGCTGTGAACAGATCGTTCGGCTCAGCGGATTATGCTGTGTTTGTTACATCCCTGGTTTTGTCAGCTGTTGTGGGAATATTTTATGCCTGTAAAGGGGGGCGACAGAAAACTACGGGGGAATTCCTGATGGGAAACAGAGATCTGCAAATACTGCCGGTGTCGCTGTCAATTCTGGTGTCCTTCCTCTCGGCGATTACCATCCTCGGCACTGTGGCTGAGATGTACACCAATGGAACAGAGTACTTTCTGTACGTCTTTGGAATGGTCTTTGGCATCATCCTGGCAACTGTGCTATACATCCCGTTGTTCTATCCCCACGGCTTTACAAGTTCCTTCGAGGTTTGAGATTAAATCATCATCTTACACTATTTCGTTGAGGGTTGGACCTGTGTAGATCCGGGTTAGAATAGTCTTCAGCAACCAATGCTTGTCGTAAGAGACAAACGGGATCCGGTGGTCAGGCTGGCGTACTTGGTTGACACATGTCATCGTTGCTCAAGTGTGTAGATCGATGCTCATGCTGTTGATCACTGGATTGTCTGGTTCAGACTCCATTATTTACAGACCGCCCCCATATAGCTGGAATATTGCTGAGTGTGGCGTTACACAGCAAGATAACAACACAAATGTTGACGCTCGCATGGAATGTTTTAGTGCGTGGTATATAAATTGTTTTACGTACGGAAGCATGTTGTTTCATTTTTACGTACAGAAGCATGTTGTTTCACTTTTACGTACAGAAGCATGTTGTTTCACGCTGAGGAGCTGCTTTAATCTTTGTTTTGTCAGGCTCGGTGACATGGACGAATGCGCGTAATCGTTTCCAGATAGGTTTGCTTATAATATCAATCACTGGTCTGCCTGGTCCAGATTGGCTTATTTCCAGGATTTGTATAGCTGTGTATGGCACAACCCATGCATTAACAGCCCCCTGTTAGCGTTATACAATATACTGGACGATCGACACAAGATGTTAAAGCAGTAATTCTACTGTGAAGCATCACCTCACTTCTTAATTAGGATTTGATTTTCATTGCAGTATTTGGAGAATTTGGTGTCTCTCGTGATATTACGAATGACAAGCCTTTATGGATGATCAAGTTCTTTATTGTAAACATCGACGTTTTGGTATATATACTTATATCGTTTTCAAGCATGACATTGTTGGAACATTGCTAAACGCGGCGTTAAACTAAACTCACTCACTCACTACAGGAGATAGCTTTCTGGTCGAGCTATGCGTCACTAGTTTCAAACTAGCGACGTCCATTTAGGTTACACTTGTCAAATATTTCGAACATCCAAAATTTTCTTTTCAAAATTGGAAAACTGAACATAAGAACATATTTGAACGGCTAATAGCTGGCCTCAATGTATGACAACACTTCCCAAAGGCTATGTACGCTTTTATTCAAATGTTTATCCTATCAAAGTGAGAGAAAGACGATAGATAGATAGAATCTGATAGACTCGATTATTTACAGACCACCCCAATATAGCTGGAATATTGCTGAGTGTGGCGTTACACAGCAAGATAACAACACAAATGTGGACGCTCGCATGGAATGTTTTAGTGCGTGGTATATAGATTGTTTTACGTACAGAAGCATGTTGTTTCACGCTGAGGAGCAACTTTAATCTTTGTTTTGTCAGGCTCGGTGACGTGGACGAATGTGCGTAATCGTTTCCAGATAGGTTTGCTTATAATATCAATCACTGGTCTGTCTGGTCCAGATTGGCTTATTTCCAGGAGTTGTATAGCGGTGTATGGCGTAAAACAAACCACAACCCATGCATTAACACCCCCCTGTTAGCGTTATACAATATACTGGACGATCGACACAAGATGTTAAAGCAGTAATTCTACTGTGAAGCATCACCTCACTTCTTAATTAGGATTTGATTTTCATTGCAGTATTTGGAGAAACGGTTCAACTCCAGAGCGGCCAAACTAACCGGCACTGCTATAACTATATTCCAACAGGTATGTGTTCACTATAATCAAGACCCATGAAGATACGGGTCAGAAGTGATCTTCAACAACCCATGCTTGTCGACACATGTTTGGTTGACACATGTCAAGACATCCCAAATGTGTAGATCGATGTTCGCGATGTTGATCACTGGATTGTCTGGTCCAGACTCGATTGTTTATAGGCCGCCGCCATATAGCTGGTATATTGCAGATTGCTGGGTTGATCAACAAACAAACATTATTGTCAAGAATACACCTTACGCTGCAAGTTTGTCTATGAAAAGTCATATCAACCACCTATGCAAAATATGTCACTTCCATCTCCGAAATATTGGTTCCATACGCAACATCTTAACCATAGAAGCAACGGCCACCCTCGTTCGATCTCTAGTTCTATCACGATTGGACTACTGTAACAGTTTACTAATTGGTATCTCTGATGAACAATTACAGCGCCTCCAGAAAATACAGAATCAGGCTGCTCGCATCGTCACAAGGACAAAGCTATGTTCTCATATTACGCCAGCTCTCAATTCTCTTCACTGGCTCCGGATCCGCGAGAGGATTGAATTTAAACTGCTCTCCCTTGTTTATCAGTCTGTTTATAGCATTGGTCCAGCATACCTCCATGATTTGATAACACTGTACAAACCTGACAGATCTCTCCGCTCCAGCGATCAACTCTTGCTAGTTGTTCCTGTGTGCAAACTTAAAACCTTTGGTGCAAATTCATTTTCTCATGCTGCTGCCACTCTCTGGAACTCTCTACCATCGGATCTTAAAACCTCTCCATCACTCCGAGTCTTTAAGTCCAAGCTCAAAACTCACCTCTTCAAGAAATATCTATGACGTCAACTTTCCTGTACATAGAACCTGTATATATGTTATGCGCTTAGAGCATGTCCCTGGGTGATGTGGATGAGGCGCTATAAAAGTACTCTTATTATTATATTATTATTATTCTCTTCTTCCAACCCCCACGTGTGATTCACACCGGTGGCCTACGGGAGACAGGGGCCGTGGAGTAGCCTCGTGGTTAAAGCGTTCGCTCGTCACGCCGAAGACCAGGGTTCGACTTCCCACGTTTGTATAATGTGTGTGAAACCCATCTCTGGTGTCTCCCGTGATATTAGGAATGACAAGCCTTTATGGATGATCAAGTTCTTTATTGTATAACAGCGACGTTTCGGTATATATACTTATATCGTTTTCAAGCATGACATTGTTGGAACATTGCTAAAAGCGGCGTTAAACTAAACTCACTCACTCACTACAGGAGATAGCTTTCTGGTCGAGCTATGCGTCACTAGTTTCAAACTAGCGACGTCCATTCAGGTTACACTTGTCAAATATTTCGAACATTCAAAATTGGAAAACTGAACATAAGAACATATTTGAACGGCTAATAGCTGGCCTCAATGTATGACAACACTTCCCAAAGGCTATGTACGCTTTTATTCAAATGTTTATCCTATCAAAGTGAGAGAAAGACGATAGATAGATAGAATCTGACAGAATCCGTCCTGCGGCACAGCTATATGACGGCCATCTGTAAATATGTAGATAGTCGAGTCTATACCAGACAATCCAGTGACTGACCTGTGAATGAATATCCTCACATATTTGTCCAGCGTTAGATCATTTTGAAAACACTGAGTTTACATGAAACTCTCTTCCTGAGCGATTGAACTACACCAAGTATATGTTACCGTCAGGCCAAGTGGGAATTGTTTATCTTGAAGCTCGGGGATCCTGAGTCAATGTACATTGCACGACCTCGATCAAGTACCTCCAGCTTAGTACCGGAAGAAGCGCTTTGCGACACTTATGAGTCCTATTGCTGAGTGTGGCATTCATGAATAAACGAGAAAGAAAATGTGCTGAGATATGAGCAGTTTGTGGCCCAAATTTCGAGGATTTACGCGTCGACAATAATTATACCTTGCGAGACGTGAATAACGGCTATTTTTGACCAAACCTCCTTAAAAAGATTGGATTAAAAAATTAAAGCTTGTTCTTCCGATTTCAGATAATCTACATGGGGATTGCCTCGTACGCCCCTTCCACGGCCCTGGAAGCAGGTAACTGACTGCATTTATTCGCTGTCAATTGTCTCTCTATATTGTTGGTACAATCAATATCTCTTCTTTTGTCTAATATACGGAATAATGTGTAGTTCTGTTTCAGTTACTGGTCATTTATTATACAGAGGTCATCATGGGTCTGTGACATGTACGGGGTATTATAGCGGCAGCCGAAAACAGGGATTGCGTTCCAATATTAACAATGTCAATATCGGGCGTGACAACCATTACAGAGAAGCCAGGTAGTAGCGTAACCCTATCATGTTGTCCCGCCATATAGGACGTCAGTACTGCCGCACAACGAAGCGCATGTGATACATGTGGTCTCACCATAGGCAAATTGCCTCTTTTAATCCAGCAGAAAATGGATACCCGGTAGGATAAGACATATGACTATTAACTTTCTTGCGCCTCATGGACAGCTTGGGTTATCCGGGGAAATAATAATAGCGCTTTTGGCAAAATATTCATCACGGAATGGCGCTATAAAAGTGGACTATTATTATCATGATATATCTGGGATATTGGGAGTGGCGCGTTATACAACAAACACACATTCAAGTTGTCATTAACAATAATGAGCTGTGTCCTTTCCTGTGTTGTGGTGCACCTCTTGCCATTACACTTCAACCCAAAAACTGACGACGTTGAATAACGCAAGCGTGACTGAGACGTTCTCCTCTGTAAACCTCTGCAGACCTTTCAGAGCTGCTA